ACTACTACTACTGTTACTATAACTGTTACTATTACTCTAAAACTCTTAAGGATATTGGACGCTTTTTCAGTTTCTTAACCTTTTACACAGTAGAACTTCCTGGACGAGTGATCAGCCTGTCGCAGTGCCTCTGCCTAGACACCGGACAACAAAAAAACACAGAATAAAGTACACAGACATCGATGCCTCTAGTTGGATTCGAACCCACGATCCCAGTGTTCGAGACAGTGAAGGCATTTCATACCTCAGAACGCGCGGCCACTGTGGTCGACTTTTTTTTTATTATTGTTAATGGGGTGGGAGTAAGTCCCTTGTACTGCGGCCACTTCAGGCCTATTGTACCAGCCCTAGATGATAGGTGAGGGTGATTGTGGAGCAATTGGTGCAATGAAGATTGGCAGGGGAAACCGAAGTACTCGGAGAAAACTTGCCCCAGCGCCACTTTGTCCACCACAAATACCACTTGACCAGAGCCGAGATCGAACCCGGGCGCCGCGGTGGGGAGCCAGCGACTAACCGCTTGAGCTATGGCGCGGCCACTGTGGTCGGCTTAGTAGCTGCTCAATACCGAAAACCATAATGTTATAGTGACTGGAATGTAAATACAGTGAAGCAGATGGGGAGAATCCGTTGCTGTGGTCGGACTACTCTGATATCGTAAGAGTGTCTGTTTTACAGCTTGTGCGATAACAAAGTGCTTGCAACTTCGTGCCCTATGTACAGGCAATGAATAATTTATGGACGGAATATGACCGTCATAGTTGGCATTGAATTAGCAGCTTTTATGCGCTGCTTATCAAGCACGAACAAGCAAACTAAGTGCATCTTAACAAGGAGTAAAAGCTGCTACCCAGTATTACACTCACAAGTGCAGTAAATCATAATGCCTGTTAGCTAATTGTGCAAAAACAGAATGTAATTATATGTATCCGATTTCAAGGAGGTACTTGTTGAAAATAATTGGCCTTTGTAGCAAGAAGTAAATGAGCAACTTATGAGGTTACTGATACATAACGACGGCTAATATGATTTATACGGGTCATCAAATATCACCTTTCTATAACTAATTGCATAGAGCTGAGCACTTCTTGAGAAGTCGCTAGTTGTGCAGTTACTCAAGAACTTCCCAACATTTTATGGAACCCAAAGGTTCATTACCGTGTTCACAAGAGCCCTCCACTGGTCCCTATCCTGAGTCCGATCAGTCTAGTCCATACCGCCCCAGCCTATCCCACTAAGATATATTTTAATATTATACGTCCACCTACGTCTTGGTCTTCCTAATCTTTTCTTTCCTTCTGTCTTTCTCCACCACTGTCCTACACGCATTACTATTCTCCCCATTCGTGCTACATGCCCTGCCAATTTCATCCTTCTTGGCTTGCTCATTTAATGGTACTTGAGAAATAGTACAATTTATGAAGCTCCTCACTATGCAGTTTCCTCCAGCCTACCGTCACTTCATCTCCCTTCGGTCCAAATATTTTCCTCAACACCCTGTTCTCAGACATCCCAAGCATAAGTTCCTCTCTTAATGTCAGATAACACGCAGACCAAATTATGGATCCGTATATTCAAATTTTTACGTTTTAGACAGCAGACGAGAAGACCAAAGTTCTGGACTGAATGATAGCAAGCACTACCTGAATTCAATCTCCTCTTAATTTCCTTCTGAATCAAATTTTCGCCTGTTAGTTAGTTATTAGAGAGGGTGGGTTTCCCCATGCACTTAAACCTATAGTGGTCCATTGTGCTTCCCTCTATGATTTTTACCAGTCTCTATATCCTGCCGGTATTGGTGCTTACCATCAGTCCCGCCCAGCCAGCGAGACCGGCTCTACTGGCTGAGAAGTATCTATAATGCTTTCCCCATCTACCGGAGGTATTAGTGACTGCTGTTGGGCGACAAACGACCGCAATTTTGTTCAGTGACCTCCTTTGGAGGTATGAGGTCCTTTTGCGTGCCGTAAAGCTACGACACGGGACCCACGGCTTAAAGTCCCTCCCGGAGGACTTGTTCCCTGAATTTTTCCGCCTTTAAAAATTCGACGACCTTCGCCGAGTATTTGAACCAGCGTACTACGAGTCATGAGGTGGGAACGTTACCTCTAGACTACGGATGCCGCTTAAAGATTTTTCGCCTGTTGCTGTCGTTCCCAAATATTTGAACTGTGCCACATTTTCTAGGCATTTATTAGCTATCTATATGTCATGAATTGTCCCTGCATTCTGGTGACAAGATAGCAATATATACTATTCTTTCTTTCTGTTTACTTCTAGTCCAACCTCCTTAATGGCATCAGTTAAAGTTTCTGTGTTTTTCTCTATAGTGTCTATGCTATTTCCCAGTAGATTCACATTATCAGCATAGACCAGCAGCTGATATGTCCTATTTAATTTCAGTCCCATCAATTTTTCCTAGATATTTGTAATGGCATATTCTAATGGAAAATTGAAAAGCAGTGGCGACAAAGCATCTCCCTGTTTAGGCAATTTTGATAGCATGGTTGTTAGACAAATATTTATCTATACGGACTTTAATATACGTTTCGTTTAAACACATTTTAATGCGTTCCATGAGTAAACTGAACTCTATGAGGATATTGTGCAATACTTCCCTCCTAATTGAATTATTTCTTTAAGTCTACGAATTGCTGATCTGACAAATACCAAAGAAAATCGAATCAATAGTTGATCTGTTACGTCGTAACCTACACTTATGATCCCCAATAATTTCATCTGCGTATGGACTTAACTTTGAGAGAAGGATATTTCATAATATTTTGTATTAAATTGATAACAATGATATCCCAACATAATTACAATAGTCAGTTTTAACGCTTTTCTTGTGAACTGGTACAATAATAGACTCCTACTTATATACAGTTCTTCGTTATTGCAAATAGATTTAATAAACTTATGGGTCTCAGACGGTAATGTTTCACCTCCTGCTTGAATCAGTTCCTAGTTGGAATTTGATGGCTACATGTCGATTTATACCTTTTCAACTTTGCAATAACAATTTCAGACTGAAAAGAATAGGTTTAGGTACTAGCGGATCAACTGTATGTTTTTCTATAGGCCTGACATCACTGACCCTATGTACATTCAATAAATGAGAGAAGTAGTTCTTCCACCTATTCAAAATGTTGTGAGAATTTGCAAGCTGATCACCAGTCTCAGCCTTCACTACTCCTAGGTTGGTGAACCGTCTTAAATTCATATTCTCCTATATATATATATATATATATATATATATGTTTCCAATGTTTTTGTTCTGACTGTTCACTAATTATGTCGGTCTGATACTCCCTCTGTTTATTCATGAAATGCCTGCTGGCTTCACGTCCTGCATTATTCAGATTATCCCCATTTATTTCGCTTGGATTCTCTAACCACTGCAATTCGGCTTGTTTATATCACCCTTCTATACAAAATAAAAAGCAATAAAGCCGAGATATGAAATCTGTGAAATTACACAATTTCGGGTTACCATAGCAACGGCCTGTCGAACGTCAGCTCGTTGCATGGACGTAATGTCTGCATTCAAATTGTGGCATAAATCTGCAGTCGAACTTGCTTGTACCGAATCATTACACATCTGGATGAGTGTAGTTATTCGGCATGGTATTTCACAGTTCATCCAAATGGATACCTCACAGTAAGCTACGACAATCTCTTTTCTGATATCTAATGAGATCTCATATCACGATATATAACATGCACAGTTTAAAGCGGCCTCCGTAGTCTAGAGGTAACGTTCCCACCTCATGACTCGTAGTACGCGGGTTCAAATACCCGGCGGAGGTCGTCGAATTTTTAAGG